TACGTGGCTGGCGCCTTAGCCGGTTGAGCTATAGGCGCCGAGCCCCTTTGCCCATTTTTAATTAGGTTATTTGTTTTTCTGTATTGAATCCTTGATCTTAGCCAAAAGGCTGAAAAGTGATTGTTTTTCTGTATTGAGTTGTAATAGTTCTTTATAAATTTTGGCTTCTAACCCCTTATCAGATACACAAAAATTGTTTTGTAAATTTTTTCCAGTCTATAAGTTGCCTTTTCATTTTGTTGATTGTTTCCTTTGTTTTCAGAAAATGGCTAATATTTGGGAAGAACATGAAGCTTTTTAGTTTAGTTTAATGTAGTCTCATTTATTTATTTTTGCTCTTGCCAAGGCCAATGTCCATGAGGATTTCCCCCGTAATCTTTTCAAGGAGTTTTATGGTTTTAGGTCTTACATTTAGGTGTTTTATCCATTTTGAATTGATTTTGGTATATAGCATAAGTAAGATACAGGACCAATTTCATTTTTTGCATGTGGAAATCCAGTTTTTCCAGCACTGTTGATTAGACTATCCTTTCCCCCATTGTGCTCTTTTGATGACTTTGTCAAAAATAAGTTGACCATACTTACCTGGCTGGGGAGATAGCCTGATCACAAAGGTAGTTTTCCCAGGGTGAGGCTTATGCATTGCGCTCTGGATGTGCTGACCCCTGCGATTTCCCCAAATGTGGGAAACTCGACTGCACAATTGTGGTAGTGGGGGATTCTTTCGTGCTCTCCCCTTTAAAAAAAAAATAAGTTGACCATACATGTTTGGATTTCTGAGCTCTCTATTCTATTTCACTGGCTTATGTGTCTGTGTTTATGCCAGCACCATATTGTTTTGATTATTATAGCTTGGGAATACAATTTTAAATCAGAAATTGTGACACTTCCAACTTTTTCTTTCTCAGTAGTGCTTTGGCTATTTTTTTTTTTTTTTGTAGTTCCTTATAAATTTTAGGATTTTTTTCTATTTCCATGAAGAGTGCCATTGGAATTTTGAATAGGGATTGCACTAAATCTGCATATTGCTTTGGGTAGCACAGACATTTTAACAATATCAGTTTCCCTGGTGATCTAGTGGTTAGGATTTGGCACACTTTCATGCAGCCTCTTAAAATGTGAATTTGTTAAGACTTAAGCAAGTAGGATTGGCACTTGTGGCTCAAGCCGCTAAGGCGCCAGCCACATACACCTAAGGTGGCGGGTTTGAATCCAGCCCAGGCCCACCAAAACAACAATGACAGCTGCAACCAAAAAATAGTTGGGTGTTGTGGTGGGTGCCTGTGATCCCAGCTACTTGGGAGGCTGAGGCAGGAGACTCACTTGAGCTCAGGACTTGGAGGTTGCTGTGAGCTGTGGTGCCATGGCACTCTACCCAGGAGGATAGCTTGAGGCTCTGTCTCAAAAAAAAAAGACTTAAGCAAGTAACAAATTGTATATCTGGAAATACATATATTAAATATATATATGAGGAACTGATAGGTTGGCTATCACCCAAGGTGAGAACTGGATGCTGGAAACAGAGATGGGAGTGAGACATTTCCTATTACCTTTTTATTCCTTATGAATTTTAAACAATGAGAACATATTTTTGTTGTTGTTCAGACAGAGTCTAACTATGTCACGCTTGGTAGAGTGCTGTGGCGTCACAGCTCACAGCAACCTCAAACTCTTGGGCTTAAGCGATTCTCTTGCCGCAGCCTCCCAAATTGCTGGGACGATAGGCACCCGCCACAATGCTTGGTTATTTTTTGTTGCAGTTGCCATTGTTGTTTTTAGCTGGCTGGGGCCAGGTTCGAACCCACCTCCCTTGGTGTATGTGGCTGGTGCTATAATCACTGTGCTATGGGTGCCGAGCCAGTGTGAACATATTTAAATAAAAAGAAATGAAGAATGAAAACTGACATGTTTTATGATAAGTCAGATACTATCTTGATTTAGATTCTAGGATCAAATAATAGTAAGAATCAGAGATAAGAGAGAGATTTTATTTTTGTAAAATACCACTGCTATTTGATTCTGTAGATAAAGCAAGTGCTCTGGTGGTCTGGTGTTCTACTGGAGCACAGTTTGGTATCATGGCTCTTTTTTTTTTTTTTTTGGCTGGGGCCCGGGCTTGAACCCGCCACTTCTGGCATGCGGCTGGCGCCCTACTCCTTGAGCCACAGGCACCACCATGGCTCTCTTTTTGGAGACAGAGTCTTTATTGCCCTTGGTAGAGTGCCATGCTGTCATAGCTCATAGCAACCTCAAACTCTTGGGCTCAAGCAATTCTCTTGCCTCAGTCCCCTAAGTAGCTGGGACTACAAGTGCTCACTATAACATCTGGCTATTTTTAGAGATGAGTTCTCACTCTTGCTCAGGCTACTCTTAAACACCTAAGCTCAGGCAATCCACCCATCTCAGCCTCTCAGAGTGCTGGGATTACAGGGTGAGCCACCACACCTGGCCTAGGAACATGGCTCTTAAGAGAAAGTTGACAGTCGAAACTTTGCTTGGATATGCTTTAGAGAATTTCACAGTGATTTGAAAAGAATACTGTAAAACCATTAAACAACCATGGTTTTGATACTGTGGATATTACTGTTGCATGAATCATTTTTCCCAGGAAAAGAGTAAAATCAGTAAAGCGTACATGTTTATGAACTAAGGGAGTCAAGTCATATGAGGACAAACCAGTCCAAGGGATTTGCTAGTGATAAAGTCTTGGCCTCTGAATTGTTCTTTACCCAGTATCTGCATATATGGGAAGGAGTAAGAATTCTGTGTTATAGAATCAGACACTCTAGAATTCTATGTCATAGAATCAGACACTCTTCCTGCTTCAGGGCACATACAGTTAAGTACTGATATTGCAGTTTTCTGTTAGATGATTCTTAGTCACCAAATCTCTATCTAGGACCCAGATACCTTTTTTATTGAAGACAGTGGATGAAAAGTAAATGAGAAATACATGTATGTATGAAATTATCATCTGTATAATTTTCATTTCCTTGAGTTTTTTTTTTTTTTTTTTTTAGATAGAGTCTCAGTCTTTCACCCTGGGTAAGAGTGCCATGGCATCATCATAGCTCACAGCAAGCTCAAACTCCTGGGCTCAAGCAATCCTCTTGCCTCAGCCTTCTGAGTAGCTGGGACCATAGGTGTGTGCCATCACACCCAACTAGTTTTTTCTATTTTTAGTAGAGACAGGGTCTTGCTCTTGCTGAGGCTGGTCTCAAATTCCTGAGCTCAAGCAATCCACTGGACTTGGCTTCCCGGAGTGCTAAGATTACCAGCATGAGCCACTGCACCCGGCCCGTGGGTGTGTTTTTCATGTGTCACATTTAAAACTCTTGCCAACTCTGTGAAAAAGGTTGGTTTTTTGTTTGTTTTTACATACAAATGTGGAAACTAAGGCTCTGGCAGAATGAATGACTAGACAGGATCATACTTTTGTAAAGTCAGGCCTTTGAGGCTATCATTCTTTGTTCCCTAAAATGTTTGGTGACTTGAATCTAGAATACCATCCTCTTTTTAGGTTTTGATTCCATCTTTCTTTAAAATCATGTTTAAAATTCTTCTCCAGAAAGCTGTTTCAGATAAAGCCCAGGCACGTTTTTGGTTCCAAGCCTCCCAACAATTTGTTTCTAGTATCTATTATCTATTATATTTCAGTATGAATTTTAGCTTTACTGTATTCATTTGCTTTCTGCTGTGTCTCCCCTTATTTTATATAAATTATCTTTATTATAAATAGTAGTACCCTTGACTTGTAGACATTTACAATCTATTTTTAATAACATCCACAACTTACTAAAAACAGATTTCTCAGAGCTTTCCCCATAGGTTCTGATTCTGTGTGTTGGAGGTGAAGTCCAGGAATCTGCATTTTAAATAACATCCCAGAGGATTCTGATGCAGGTAATCCAATAACCACACTTTCAGAAACTCTGCTACTGAGCACTAAAAATTTGATTATTATGTACTGCATATCTATCCTGTGCTCGGTGGGGGCCACAGAGTTGTAAAATAACTGAGTTCCTGTTCTCATGTTTACAAACTTTCAAGGGAGAAAGAGCATACTGCCATCTGAGACAGTATATGATGAGAGACCCTGTGATTGATGCAGACAATAAATGCATTAGGAATACAAAGAAGGAAAGCATCACTTCTGGCTGGATTGTCATGAATAGCTTCATAGAGAGGGGTTGAGCTGGCATTTGAAGAAAAGAGCTTTCAACGGGATGGGAAAAAACGTAGGTTGTTTCAAAGTGTTGGAACAGTAAAAACTAAGTGTCAAGGAACACAAGAACTACTTTTAGGGGATCAGTATGTGCAATGATGGGCCTGAACTAGGAAGTTTATGTAGACACATGAATGGATTTACGTAGCCTAGGGAAGTTAGATTGAAGAAAGCCTTGATTTTGGACTCTTATTTTGTAGGTACTGGGTAGCTCTTTAAACGTGCAGATAAGACAAAAGTGGCATTTAAAAAGACTGATATGGCAGTGAGCTGAAAGCCCTAAACTATGCTTGGCAGTTTGGAGAAAGGCTGAGTTCTGAATATTTGTGAAAGATTTCAACACGATCTGACTGGATAAGAAAGAGAAGTGGCAGAGATGCTGGTGAGGTTTGAACCTCCTTGATTGGGAGGACTGTGTACAATTTCACCACCCAGTGAATCTGAAGGAGGAAATGTTGGTCTAGAATTCAATTTCCCATCCAAAGTTGGAATCTTATGTACATATACATCAGGTAGCTTTGTTTAAATATGACAACTATCTGTATTATGTTGAAAGGAAAAAAGTCTGGAGCTTGAAGGAGAGGACTGGATATTTGGGTTCACCTGTGAAAAAGCAGACAGAAGGTTCAGATTACTTATTAAGTTATCATATAGAAAACGCTGCACAAAAAAATCTAAGAAAGTCCTACAGAAATTTAAAAACTAGATGGAATCTCTAAAAAAAGGATCCCAATAAGAGCACATGGCAAGCCTCCAAATCCACAAACCACCGTCCAGCGAATTCATACTCTTCTCCGTGCATTAGGTAGTGTAAGGCCTTGGACTCATAGAGGAGTGAAAATTAGCAGGATACTAAATTTGGAATGAGAAACTTGTATGGGGGGGGTGGGGTGGCAACTTGCAGAACTTTGAAGTAGTGGATACTAAATTGCCCAAAGCCCACGCAGGAGCAGGTCTCAGGGAGCTGCAGTGCCTGAACCACCAGAGAGCTACCAATTCATTTCGCAACCACTAATTACGCGGCTTAGGGCCAGTGGAGTTCCAACAGCGGCCGAAGAGTCCTGTACACACGACGATTGGACGAGCTCACTTCCCTGCCTTTCCCGGGGCTCCTTCTCGGGTCAATCACACTGCTCGTTTGTCCCACCGACCTTCGCCCCTTTCAGTGACGTAACAACTGGCGCTCTTTCACGCCCAAACCCTCAAACTCCCCACTAGTCGCTTCAGTTCGCCATTGGCCAGCAGAGGAGAGGAAAGGGAAGGGGCACCCTGTCTTTCTGAACTCCCCCCATCTAGTTTTCCGGTCTTCTCGCAGGCTGTCAGAAGAGCAGTTGTAGCTTGGAGCTGTCGCGCAGGCGTGCAAAACTGCCTGCTGGTGGAGGGGCATTTCCCCTCCTCAAGAGATTTGTTACTCGGTGGTGACGCAGACGGTACCCCGCTCTCCGCCTTCACTTACGATTGGCTGCGGTCGAAGCCCGTCACACAGCCACGCCCCACCCTGCCTCTCCCAGCTC